CAGCATCTTAGGGCTGTTATAGGCGAAAATAGTGATCGCTTGGTTCTCTCTTCTTCGAGATATCCAGGGATTACGTTGTTCATCAGGAACGTTCCTGAAGGATCGTTGGCAATCTTATTTAAATTATGAGTATGTGAACAACAGCATAAAATGAATCCTGGGAAACATTTGAAATATCAGATAAGTGATTTAGTATAAAATAAGGTTGAAGGGGAGAGGTTTGAAGGAGGGAACAGTTGAAATATGGCGGATGACAGACGGGACGGAGATCCAAAAAGAGACAGCTCGGATCAGGAAGGATTTATGTAATGCAACAGTTTGGTGGGGAGGAGGGTAGAAGTCAGAAGGACGAGATCGGGTGAGTCGGAATTTTCTATATATTTTAATTTCAGGGCATGAACTATGTAGTATAGGTTCTGATAATCTGATGTAGAAATCACGCAAGGAAATACTGAAAGCTGTGAGATGAGTAGAGCGATTTGACATAATTCTGGGTTATTCGGTATATCTCTATCACCGAAAACAAATCTAACTAAGCAATTCATAAGTCGTTTAAGTATTACTTCAAGCTCGCCAAAGAATTCGTCAACATGGTTCAAAAACGAAATTTGGGCGAAACTGAGACGTATAGGACGTTATAACAACTTTTTCACTGAAATCGGCTAACTGTGATAGTACTTTATATAACCTATTTTACACATTTTTACATTTTATTTTCCAAAAAAGGCTCCAGCGATTTTTTTTAACTCCTTATTTCAATGTGTAATTAAATGGTTTCTAATGCCAGGTAAATTTTATCCTCGTTGGTGTAGTTTGACATGCTGCTTGGTGTATGCTGAGATGCTTTGTTTTTACAGTTTATGGATTGCCTACTGTGTCCAAATACATTTTTTTATATTTTAAAAATAATATATGGACTGAGCAGCTATTCTTTGAAAAGTTTCTCAGCCTCTAGAATTGAAGTTGAAAGGTGGCCTGAGTAGAGTTGATATAGTGAGCACTCAACTGATAGATGAACACTTAGGACTGTCTTATATCCTTGTGCCTACATCCCATCAACATCTGTCTCCGTCTCATAATCGTCACGCTCCTCTTTAGAGTACAGCTTTATCAAGTTAAGTTGTAATGTTCTCAGCTATAATGTATTGATCAACCTAACTTTAACCATGTACAAATCAAGCAGGGTTTGACCCAGAGGGTCTTGTATTTTGGTTTTTTTTTTTTGTTAATCGTTGAATGTATTAATATAGAGAAAAAAAAATGTTTAGATATTTTAGACGGTTATTTTTTTTTTTATTATTAAAAACACTTTATTCAGAAATATTACAATTTGTCACAGTTAAGGACACTTATAATAGAGTTCAGAGATTGCATTCATACCGTATATACAAAAATATAAATAAATAAAGTAATAACAAAAGAATAAGAAGAAAGAACAAAAGAGTAAAGAAAAAAAAAAATATATATACACATAAGTAAATAAAAATAGAAATAAAAGTAAAACAAACACCTTATATAAAACATACATTATTTACAAAACATACATATTTACAATAGACGGTTATTGAGTTATAAATTTTTTAAATAATGAAAAACCTCGAAAAACTTTTTTTAATAGGTTTTGCCTTATTTCTCAAGAACTATTGACTGCTGAAGCTGAAGCCGATGTCATTATCTTCATTCGTTTATGATCTTTCTTTTGATATACGATATAACTATATTATAAAAATATCATATTTTCCAATGAAAACCAAAACTTTGTAATTTTGAAAAAAAAAAAAAAAAACCTTTTGTTCAGTAGTAGTAGGAACCTTCCAACTTTGAGATAGATTGTAATATTTTTCAATGAACAAGTTACAACTTTTCCTTAATTGACCTTTGAATATTTAATTTTAAACTTAACTATTTAATTGTGAATAAGGTCGCTTATTAATTATTTAATAAACTATTGAATGTTCATTTCTTCTATATTTATTGACGTTTAGATCTAGGTATTTTCTTTTTATAAGTCAACCATGGGATCCTCTTCAAAGCTAGAATTTTAAAAAATAGAGCTTCGATCAGGACAGGGACACACCGACAGTCTCAGCACAGTCCACTAGCACATATATTAAGCTACTCGGTTAGTAGCTATGACCTTATTCCCAATTAAATAGTTAAGTTTATATATATATATATATATATATATATATATATATATATATATATATATATATATATATATAGTAGCTGATTGTGGTTGATGCAATTTAATGCACCAATAATCTAAATCGTGCAATTTCGTGCAGTATGAAATTTAAATATGTTACTCTACAGGTTCTGAAACGGACAGATATTCGGGTCCAGAGTTTTTACATCCAAGCGAATAAAAAGTGCAATAACATGGAAATCCGGTCTCTAGTCATAACCTTAACCACGATATTAGCTATGCCAAATCGTTTTGTATTGTTTTTAATTTGTTTATTTATTATTTATTATATGCGTATACGATGTATTTTGTATAGAAGCTAAGTATTTTGTACGAGCGTTCATCTTAACTAAAAATAATTAAATGGAACCGACGGTAATAAAATATTACCTTATATATATATATTCATAAAATTTTACGAGGATCATATACTAAGCCAGAGATTATGTTAATAAATGTCTTGGTGGGAGGAAGGGTTAGTAAAAGCCCCGGAAATCTTAATTTACCTTCGGCAACAGGTGTTCGCGATCTGAGCTGAATTCATTTTCGCAGCGTTGCGTAAGGATATTTCCTAAATACAGGTGTGTGAGGCACATCCCTGCTTTATTGTAATAATTAAAATTTGATTTACGTTGTTGAATGTAAGAGAACTACAATATTTCTCTTAAATTCATTTAAAAACTTTGGTTTGGTTTCATAACTTTCATTTAGTTACCATCCTTCATTCAATAGAAATTTATATATATATATTTAAATTAAGAAACCTATAGATTATTAATTTAATTATAGCACTAATTAAATACAATTAATATCATCATTTTAGTATTCCGTAGGCCTCCATAGGGGCTTATAAATAATAAATATTTATCAGAACTTATTTGAGTGTTTTAGTATTTATTATTTTTTTAATTTAATCATTATTTATTTTAGGAAAAGAACCCTATACTAGTAGAGCCTAAGTCTGTATTATAATCATTATTTCTTATATATTATTACATTGTTTTTCTCTTTTTATACTACATCATTAATATTCACAACAATCTTACGATCTTAGTAGACCAAACATTGAACAGTCAAAATAATGTTGATTATTAACAGTTTTATAAAATCTAAAATTGTCAACAGAACATATAAACAGTAATAATATAATACATTTCTTTAAAAATACCAATATTAAACCATATTTAAAAGTTAAATTAAAAGATCACTGTAATGAACAAAGAAAACACACAGAGAAACAAGACCAGGACAGATTTCATACAGACATCCACATATATTTGCTAAAATGAGTGTGTCAGTATGTCCGAGTAAATAATCATGAAATATTTTTTTGCTGTGTCTGTATGTCTTCAAGTAACCAGATCATATACAACTGTGTTTCATGAGGTGGTACCGGTATTCCTCTCGACCTCCTCCTGCGAGAAGACCTCTTTTGGCACAATATTAAGAGGGATAGGTTGGAGGATTTACCAGCGAAAAATCGTTAGAGGATTTGTGAAAAACCCAGAAGATGGAAGATGATCCTCCGGGAAGATACATTGGAACAATGTAACCGGCGATAGATAACAACCCCAAACGGATCGACACTGAGAAAGTTCTTTCCCACTGTCGGGTTGCGCCTTAGAAAAGACATGGACTACTGGAATTCACAGAGCCTCACGGGGCATGGGAATTTTAGAGAGAAACTTTTTAAACATGGTATAAACATCGATCCTTTATGTCCCACTTGTGAAATACCAGAAACCGTTGAGCACTTCCTTGTAGCCTACACCAACTATGAGGCACTGTAGAGCAAATTGATGAGGGAGACATTTTAACAGAAATCAACTTTCTTTAAAGATGTCTCAACGAAACTACCCGCTCTTTAAAAGCTTTATAGGCGGATGGAAAGAAGCTGTGGGCCCAACCCAGTTCTCCTTGGATAGCCGAACAGGATAAGAGAAGAAGATGGAGGAAGATTAAATGAAAGATAAGAGGAGGAAGATTAGAGGGAAAACATAAGCAAGCAGGAAGGCTATGTGGACACCAATTTTTTTATTGGGATTTTTTATTTATTTTGGTTTACAGGGCAAAAAAACTCTGTGGTTATCATCGCCGAAGTCCTCTCTTTTTTACATAATTGGTTACTTTGTTCACGTAACTGCAGCTCTAACTTAGAATCTTCTCTAAGGGCTCTAGTTGTGCCTAAGTTGTCCATTTTCCTCCTATATTTAGGACAGTCTTCGAATATATACTTCACTGTGTGGGTTGTTTGACAGTTCTTTCAGTTTAGTCTTTAGATAGCCAAGGTGAGGCGGCTATGTCCAATTCGTAAGCGAGTAAATATCACTTCATCTATTTTGAACTGGGTGGAGAAACTTCTTTACTTTTTGGCCCACTGTTTGACCAGTCTAAGTTTATTTATTTACTGATCCCACAGATTTTGCCACTTAACTTAGGTTTATTATCTTATTGGGTGAAAGATTTCAGTACTTGAAAGATGACAGCTTTTAACTTTATCTAACAAGAGGACTTCAGTTGCAGCTCTATTAGCCAAATCATTGCCCTTTATGACAATATGGCTTGATGCCCAGATAAAAAATACCGCTCTACTTTAAGTTTGAAGACTGCAGAACAGGCAATAGATTTCACTCAGGATTGTCTGAAAAGATTGACAGGTTTGAGAGATAATTGCTGAGCCGCATCAGGCTTATCAGGGAAAATGATTTTACCGTTTGAGAAAAAACAAAGATATCTTCGATTTATATGACGATTTCCGAGCTTCCCATTTCTTGCGAATTCAGCGTTTCAAATGGCTGGAACATGTAATTAGGATGGAAAATGGTATAGCAGCCAGGCATTATATTATGCCACGGATGAAATCAGACAACTCCAAAGACCGAAGAGAAGGTGGAAAGACTCGGTGGTTGAGGATTTGAGGATGGTCACTCAGTCCAGCCGACTTGAGCAGTTGAGAGGGCCAAGGGCAGCTTCAGAACCTAGTCACGCCGATAAATAAATAAATAAGTCAGTATAAAAGTCGTATACTAATGTTTAACGTTTTTCTTTTTTTTTTTTTCTTTTTTTTACAGTTACAGGATCCCATTTCATTCGTCAATATCATTCCAAGATATTGAACTCTATAAGTTTACATTTTATATTTGTATGACATTAATGGCCTAATTAATATCAAAGATCATTTAATTTTTAATCGATAAAACGAGCCCAATCAAAACCGTTAGAGCTGTTAGAGAATTCTGAAAATGAATAAAACCATTTATATGACACTTAATGGGTAAGTAAATTTTAGCGAAAACGGTACTATAACATCCTAGACTTCACCTACTTCAAATACGTAATTTCAGTCAAGCTATTGTTCTGTTATTGAATAATTAATACTTTCTCTTACTATATAATCTAAAATATATAGTAATAGGTCATTAAAAATCTGACATATTAAGACTAAATATGTGGTTCTATGAACTGGTTAATACAGTATCATAAAACGTCTAGTTATTCATGAAATAAGAATTTTAGTTCTTGAAGTCATGCGTTATCAGTATTCATCTCTTATATTAATAATATTGGTTACTATTCAAAATGTACTAAATATATTCAGTTAAAACATATGTTCCAGGAATTTAATGCATTCGCTGTATTCATGTAATATATAACACATACAGTGATATTTCATTCATTATGAAATAATTGCGTTTATAAAGTTGGAGCGGAGCGATGTGCTAAAACGAAGCCTTAATGAAGCCGAAGATTAGCCGGATTCGAAGTTACCTGGAGGATTAAGTTCGTTAGCAGTTCCAGAGAATGAAAAAGGAAAATCTGAGTGAGGGGGGCGAAGAGAAAAAAAGTTGGTCAGATAAATCAGTTCATCAAGAACTCGGCCTCTTTAATTAAATATTAAATTTCTTTTATAACAAATCATTTTTTAAATTTTTTCTTTCTAATTTCATATGTAAGGTTTTTAATATTCCTATTGAACAAATCCGATACCTGAGACTCCACTTGGACGAACATCTTACTTGAAATCCTCATACAAGACTGAAACGACAAGAAACTGCTCGACGTTTCGCTTAGTTTAACACTTACTAGAGAAACGCTCCAAGCTTACAATTAATTATTAAAAAAAACTCATATATATATGATTGTAATAAGACCTATTATAACCTACGGAGTTGAACTTTCGGGTTCCACTAAACCATCGAATTCCTCTCGTATCCAATGTTTACAATCCAAAATCCTTCTTAAAATCCTAAATGTTGCTTACTTTGTCACAAATAAAATAATTCGTAAAGACCTTAATGTTTCACATGTTTCCAATTGGCCCCAATCCAGATATCTATCCTTTCATAATATTGAAATTAAGTTTGACTGTTAGTTTTGTTTGTTTTGTCTAATTATTCATTTCTAATAATTTATTATCTTAACTTATTAACATAATGAAACCCGTTCATTTTTGATTCAGAAGTATTATAAAATTGGAACAATTGGTAATTATTATATCCTATCCCATTGTTATTGTACCCAATCCCATTTGAAATGCAATTTAATTAAATATATTCATAAAAATATCAAAATGTGTTGATAAACTGATACGGATGAGAAATGAGAGGGTGCTATAGAGTATAAACTCCGCTGGGAACCTAATACCTAATTCGATTCCTCACACATTTTTCTTCCTCCAGTTTTTCCTCGCTTCCTGGATGAGATTTTTCATCCTATTTATAAGTTGTTTTAGAAATACTGACAACTTGACAAATTATGTTTATTTTTTAAAATATTGAAGCATATTTTCATAATATATTATTTATGACTCTTACCAATCTTATTTGTTTAAAAGTAAGTAACCAAAATATTTTTTTTAAGCCGTTTTAAAATTGAATTATTTATTTACTTATTTATTTGATCTCTACCCTACCGTTAAGGCAATACGGGTGTTATGCAGTAGTGGGTAGCAACACATGCGTTACAACTCACTGCTGAATGCAGACCAATTACATTTTTTTCCAGCTCTTCTTTTTAGCCAACGTTCCCTAACATCCTCTCTAGCGGCCTTTCGGATGCAGGTCCATCTCTTCTTCCCAATCAAAAGTGGGTTGAACAGAGGAGTTCCTTCCACCCGCATACGAAGGCCTCGTAGTACGGGTAGTTCTGCATAGTAATTAGTTGAGGGAGATCGCTCTTCGTCAAAACGTAAAGATCTGTCTCCCGCAGGAATTTGGCCCTCAGTGTTTCAAAGTCGGTACATATAAGGACGATTATTTCGTACATATACATTTCACTGCTACTCCTTTAATTTTTTGGTTTATTATTTTCAATAATCAACCATTGTGATCAACCAAAAAATTCAAAAACTTAACCCCGTCTTAAAATTTGAGGTTTCACGTTTCAGGATGCGTAGAATTCGAAAAACAATACAATTTTTTTTTGTCTGTACGCCGTCCGCCGTCCGCGCTACTGGACCGATTTTTTTCAAATCTGGATATAAAATCAGAGGTCACCCGAGGATGATCCTCCTTCATCCACATTACTATCCGGCTTTTACTTTCAAAATGGCGACCGAAAACCTGCGTTGCTATAGACTGTAGCTCCTAAACGAATGCACCGATTTCAATGAAACTTCGCCAAAGTCATTTTCTTGACGCCCTTTAAATTTATCTATATAACATACTTCAAAGAGAAGATGCTGGAAAAAAAGTTACGAGGTATGGTAAAATTAAATTCCGAATAACTCAAAAAGTGTACACTTTTTTGTTGATATTGTTGGTTTTTGGTTACGGTTTTATAAACGTTTGCGGAATTTCCTAAAAAAAAAAAAAAATCATCAAAATCGGACAATTAGGAGGAAAGACATGGTCTCCAGTTTTTTTTTATATGTTCTACTCCAAATTTTATATCCTTTATTTCGTTTTTAAATTTTGAATGTGATTACTAATGATTAAAAAAAAAAGTTTAGTCCAATAACTGGAATCATCTTTTATTTATTTTTATTTGTAACTAGGAAGGTAATGTTACTTTAGATGTATAGTTGTTTGGAAATAATAAACCATTGTGAAATAATTTGCAGCGGTTTTTTTTTTCTATGGAATCGGGTAGCTCATTCCATCTAATAACAAAATGACCACCACAAAAATCTTACTCTCCTTTGGACAATATTTTCAACTGTATTATATCAATACGTCTTTAACTAATGGGCTGATTGGAAAAGAATTTGCAATAGGTTTAAAAACATACCCTTGGTCTAACTGGCTAGGAAAATATCTAGGATGAACCAAGCGAAATTCCTCTTGGCCTAGACTCAGCTAAAATAACAGTAAATTATAACGTACACTCAAAGAAAAAATAAGCGCGAAAAAAATTGAAGGAAAGCGATGGAATGGGTTGGTGGAAGAAAATGGCAGATTACAAAAAGGGTTAGGGGAGGTGCCCGAATTAGCTAATGCGTGTGCACAGCACCGCAAGTTTCCCGGAAACCAGATGCTCTGAATATGCGTTGCGAGAGGGGATTTTAAATTCACCCTCCGGCCCGGGAAAATCTCGAAAATCAAAAAGGCGAGGTAGGAAGGAACAGGAAAAAAAAAAGTTGCAAAGAGGGCGATCCGTGGAATGATATAGAATCCTTCCAGTGTATGACTTCCAGCGGAAGCACCTCCACTGCATCGGCATGACAGATAACCCGATCTATTCTCTTTGGGGAGTATGACTGGAGAACATCTTGACACATGGCCTGCATCACATAAAATGTGCTTTTAATGATAACTACTTCGCTAGGAGAGTGCAGTTATATTGGGCGGCAAGATCACGGATGACTGATTAAGCTGACGAAGGAAGAAAAAACAATGCTGGAACTGCAAAACAAAAAAACAAAAACTAAATAAAAAAACCGACTACATATACTGGGAAATTCTATCCACCATAAGGCAATATGCTTTCATATCTACTTAAATATCTTCGTAGATTGAAAGGTTAGTAGAAATCTACATATATTTAAACTTGGTGTAATATTCAGATGCCTGTCACTACACATTTAAGCTACTGTTAAATAGATTTCGTCCCATTGTTCGGTGCATATGAACATACGAAAGAATCGTAAGTTTCGATCGCGGTTTCTCATTCATTTTTTTTTACATTTTTTAATTTTTAAAATATTAACGATTCATTTTAATGATATATTATCACATGATATTGTTTCAAATCAATTTATAATATACATATGTAGTTAAACTAAAACACATTTTTATTTCAATATTTTGAACGCTAATTGTTAAAAAACATTCGTGGGATTTAACTGAGTGATTACGGCCGTCAAAGTTGAAAATCGATCATGTCATCCGCTCAAAAAATCGTCCCGTGCCTTTTAGCGGATTAATTAAATATGCTTTATATCGTAGTTTGCCAGAATTATGAGCTCGAATCGTAACATGTCTTTTATCAAATCGATTAAAATGCATTTTGTTTAATCACGGTTCAGTATTTTCAGCCCAAATTGTTTCAAAACACTCAGGGAATCTCATAGAATATTTTGAGCTATCATATTTAAAAATCCATCCAGCTGTTTGCTCAAAAAACCGTTACATAGCTTTTAGCGGACGATCCAAACACAAAACTCTCTTTTAGCTTTGCTTAGTCGGGTATAAAATATATTCATTCTTGATAATAGAAAGAATTTATAGTTCTTAACCCCACCATAAAAAAAAAATTGCCATTCTTCCAACGAAGTTATTTCGGATTTTATCCAGTTCACCAACACATGGTCAAGTACTAACCATAAAGTCGTAGACATCTTTAATCCAAATACGTGAGAAACCGCAAGGCATAGCTAGCTGAAAATAATATAAAACTATTTTGAGATTAAAACATATATTTTGCTCTCGATATCCGATCCTTAGCAAACTCGGTATATATTGTAATAATACCACACTACCCATACAGGTTATACAATATAAGTGGCTTCATATTCAAGCATACAATATCAGCTCGAAGTAGACTCCTCCAATTTCAATA